TGTCCCTCAGCTCTTCAGCTTAAGGTTAGTGCTCTACCACTTGAGCCACTGCACCACTTCCAGTTTTCTGAGTGGTTTATTAGAGATAAATGTTTCACAGACTTTCCCGCCTGGGCTGGCTTTGAACTTCGATCCTCAAATCTCAGCCTCCTGAGTAGCTAGGATTACAGGCATGAGCCACTGACTCCCGTCATATGATTTTTTTTTCTTCCCAATGGAAGCCCTTCTGTGGTTTCCCTTTGGCATATTCAGATTTCCACCATCGCTATGCTCACACTTTGGGGCCATAGTACAGTTGGAACACCAACAGTGCACTGCCAGGGCCGTGTATCTGTGGATCCCATCACTGGGATGGCTACAAAGTGAGCTATTAGTAAGGGAGTCACTGGTGGGTTGAGGAGTATTCAGCCCTGATATGCTACACAAAGGGGAGGAGCTGAAACAGTGCCTGACTTCTTCACACAACTCAAACAGGCACACAAATCAAAGCTTATGATTTGTGAAATCAAAACTATGATTGAGTACAGGTACCTGAAACCACAGATAAAGCCTATTGTTAATGTTATAGCAGAAGAGTGTTTTTTGTTTGGTCTCGGGGCTTGAACTCTGGGCCTGGGCGCTGTCCCTCAGCTCTTCAGCTCAAGGCAAGCATTCTATCACTTGAGCCACAGGGCCACTTGCGGTTTTCTAGTGGTTTATTGGAGATAGGAGTCTCACGGTCTTTCCTGCCCGGGCTGGTTTTGAACCACGATCCTCAGATCTCAGCTTCCTGAGTAGATAGGATTACAGGTGTGAGCCTCTGGTACCCGGTTATAACAGAAGAGTTTACCTGAACTTCTGCTCTGTTCTGTTGAAGAGATGTAAGAGAAAGATGGACGTGGTAACATGGAACTTTTCCTTAAGAGATCTACTTAGCTTAAAGAGTAGAAATGAGCCAGGTGCTGGTGGCTCATGCCTATAATCCTAGTTCCTCAACAGCCTGAGATCTGAGGATCACAGTTTGAAGTCTTCCTGGACAGAAAAGTCCATGAGACTCTTATCCCTAATAAACTACTCAGAGAAAAGCCAGAAGTGGTACTGTGGTTCAAGTGGTAGAGCACTATCCTTGAGCGAAAAGCAGCTCAGAGACAGTGCCCAGGCCCTGAGTTCAAACCCCAGGACACACACACACACACACACACACACACACACACACATTAGAAATGAACATTCAAAGTAAGAGTGGGAAGAGCCACCAGAGAGAGAATAATGACAGCCTGAGCCAGGCACCCATGGCTCATGCCTGTAATCCTGTAATGCCTGTAATCAGGAGGCTGAGATCTGAGGATCACGGTTCAAAGCCAGCTAGGCTTAAAAGTCCATGAGACTCTTAGCTCCAGTTAATCACAGAAAAAGATGGAAGTGGTGCTATAGCTCAAGTAGTAGAGTGCTAGCCTTGAACAAAAGGAGCTCAGAGATGGCACCTAGGCTCAGAATTTAAGTCCCAGGACTGGCACAATAAAAAACAAAGGACTACCTTCATTGTCTAGGGTTGTTCTCCTATAGGAGACAAATGTGACACTGCCAAATCAGGGCATGGTACAAACTACTCAGATCCCATCACACATGTTCTAATTGTGACAGAAGTAGAATGTCTCCAGGAATTCTCACTATACCATAGCAACCTGTACTGTCAACAGAAGCTCAGTTCTTCATGTACTACCTTATACTGGAGCCTCGGGAACATATTACAAGGTAAGGAGTGTCATCAACTTCTAGACATGAAAATGAGTTTGAATGAGTCCCCTTGCCAGCGCCCCCAGTGTAAGCTCTGCAGCCAGAAGCTGAGCTGGATCCTTGGTGGTAAAGCCGAGGATTTCCCACCTGCATCTCATTTTTATTTATTTTAGTAGAGTGCCACACTTGAGTGAAAAAGCTTAGGATAGCTCCCAGGCCCTGAGTTCAAGCCCCAGAACTATCATAAGAATGAAGGAGGGGGGGGAGGGAGGGAAGGTGGGAAAGAAGGAAGGATGGAAAGGAGGCAGGGAAGGAAAGAAGAAAGGATAGGGGGAAGGAAGGAAAGATGGAAAGGAAGGGAGAGAAGGAAGGGATCGAGGGAGAGATGGGAGGAAACATGGAAAGGGAGGGAGGGAGGGAGGAAGGGAGACGGAGGAAGAGATGGAAGCAAACATGGGGGGGGAGGAAGGAAGGAAAGAAGGAAGGAGGAAGTATATCCTCTCTGACTCTCCAGACTTTGTGGGCCCTACGCCCCCCGCCGCCCCCCCCTCCCGCGTCTGCCCAGCAGGGTCGTGATTATTGATTATGGGCAAACAGAAGGAGCACGGGGACGTGGAGGACGGTGTGCGGGGAGCCAGGCTGGCCCGGAGCCACTTGCCACCCGCCTGCAGCTGAGCCCCCCAGGCCCCCCACGCCCCGGGCTCCATGGCGCTGCCCACCGGCAGCCAGGAGACGTGGACGCCCAGAGTAGTGCACGACAGGACCCGCTCCCTGTTCCCGCCGGCCGTGGACAACCCCTTCCTGCAGCAGACCCGCCTGAGCCGGTGGCGCTGGGCCTCCACCATCCTCCTGGGCCTGGTGCTGGTGCCGGTGCGCGTGTCGTGCATCGCCTTCCTCTTCCTCTTCCTCTGGCCCGTGGCGGCGCTGTCGGCGCTCAACCTCCCCGCGCGGCCGGCCAGGCCCCCCAGGAGCTGGCGGCGGCGCGTGACGAGGCCCACGCTCACCTTCCTGTTCCGGGTGGGCTTCTTCTTCGCCGGCTTCCTGGTGAAGGTGAAGGGGAAGAAGGCCAGCCGGGACGAGGCCCCCATCTTCGTCACCGCACCCCACTCTTCCTTCTTCGACGCCATCGCCTGCGTGGTGCTGGGGCTGCCGTCCGTGGTGTCGGCCAGCCAGAACGTGCAGATCCCGGTGGCGGGGAAGTTCCTGCTGTCCACGCAGCCGGTGCTGGTCACCCGCGAGGACCCGGATTCCCGCAAGAACACGCGCAACGAGATCCTGAAGCGGGTGACCTCTCGCGAGAAATGGCCGCAGATCCTCATCTTCCCCGAAGGCGTGTGCACCAACCGCTCCTGCCTGGTCACCTTCAAGCTGGGGGCGTTCTCTCCGGGGGTACCCGTGCAGCCCGTGCTGCTGCGGTACCCCAACACGCTGGACACCGTGACCTGGACCTGGCAGGGCTTCACGGGGCTGCAGGCGTGCGTGCTCACCCTGAGCCAACCCTTCACCCGCGTGGAGGTGGAGTTCATGCCCGTGCACGTGCCCAGCGCGGAGGAGAGGAGGGATCCCCTGCTCTTCGCCAACGCCGTCCGCGTCAAGATGGCCAACGCCCTGGGGGTCCCCGTGACGGACCACACGTTCGAGGACTGCCGGCTGATGATCTCGGCGGGGGCCCTGCGGCTCCCCATGGAGGCGGGCCTGGTGGAGTTCACCAAGATCAGTCGGAAACTGCAGCTGGACTGGGACGACATCCACAAGCACCTGGACAAGTTCGCCGCCATCGCTGTGGCCTCCAAGGGCGGGAAGATCGGCATCGAAGAGTTCTCCAATTACTTGAAACTGCCCGTGACCGAGCCCTTGAGACAGCTCTTCGCCTTCTTTGACCGGAACCACGACGGCACCATCGACTTCCGGGAGTACGTGATCGGGCTGACGGTCCTGTGCAACCCCGACGACACCGAAAAGATCCTGGAGGTGTCCTTCCGGCTCTTCGACCTCGACGCCGACGGCTTCATCACCGAGCAGGAGTTCACCGCTATCCTCCGCGCGGCCTTTGGAGTGCCGGATCTGGATGTTTCCAGACTCTTCTGGGAAATGGCTGGGAAGAGCTCGGCACACATTTCCTTCAAGAGCTTCCGGAAATTTGCCCTCAAGCACCCGGCCTATGCCAAGTTATTTCATTCATACTTAGATCTCCAGGCGGCCTATATCTATTCCTTACCGCCAGAGATCCAGCCCACTTCGCTGCATTCAAATGTCCCAGTGAGCTTGGGAAATGGATCCAGTACTTTCCAGGTAGACACAAGTAGTGAAATAAAAATGATCCTTTGAAAAGCTCCACTAACAGTAATAGATTATCATTTGTATTCCAAGAAGAAGAAGGAGGAGGAGGAAGAAGAAGAAAGAAGCAGCAGTAGCAGCTCTAGATAAATATCTCTTTGTTCTTTTACAAAGTAGTCCTGTTTTACAAGACAAAAATACAGTAGTCTCGGGAATACACTAAAACAGTTATAAATGTTTTGGCTTCCTCTTTTTTTTTTTTAAAGTATAGAATGAGAAATCACAATAGATTGTAATTTCTGGAAAGCTAATATAAGCATTGGTTGTAAGTGCAGGAATTATGACATGTTCTAATTTGCATCAAACAAGAAAATATGGTTATTGCACATTCTACATTACTGTGAATATTCCCTTGCTCTGAGTACGCATCCATGAGGACTGAACCCTTTACTTTCTGGCCCTGACACTTTCAATACTTGCTGTTACAAGATGTTATCACATAGTGAGATGACCTTGGGCCTCTCCCCTCTGCCCCACAGCTCTCTGTGGAATGAATCAGCAAAGGATTCCTGGGATTCAGTCCTACACCAGGACAGAGAACAATAAACTATCAAAGCTTGGTAGTGATTCTGAATCATAAACATGCCTCATTCACCCCAAGTTATTGTATCTCTAACTAGTTTCATTTTGGTTGCATCCCTCCCTGTAAAATGTCTTCAGGAACACTGTATCCCCACATGGTTAGCAATATTTAGTCAGAGAAACAGCTGAGGTCAAAAAATCTCTTTTGTATGCTTTACAAACCATACCCAAGTAAATGTATCTCTGGAGACCCTCCTAGAGTCATGTAAGGGGCTTATAAAAGAAGAGTAGGGCCCTGTGTAATGTTGATTTTTAACTTGGTTGGACTGAGAATAGCCTAGGAGCACTCCTCTGGATGTGTCTTCCAGGTGTTCTCCCTCAGAGCATTAACTACTACCTTGAAAATAGGTAGTACCATCTCATGGGGGAGGAGATATGGAGGGAAAAAAATGGGGAAAGGAAGAAGCCAGCTAGACTGAACTCTGAAACCATTACTCCCTGGCAGTCGGTTTTCTTTTCTTTTTTTTTTTTCTTGTTGGGGCTTGAACTCGGCCTGGGTCCTGTTCCTGAGCTCTTCAGTTCAAGGTGAGCACTCTACCACTTGAGCCAAAGTGTCACTTTTGGTTTTGTGGTGGTTAATTGGAGATGAATCTCATGGACTTTCATGTCTAGGCTGGCTTTGAACCATGATCCTCTCAGATCTCAGCCTCCAGAGTAGCTAGAATTACAAGCATGAGCCACAAGGGACCTGCTCAGTCAGTTTTCTTAGGGATGTAGACACACTGACAATAAAACTAATATAGGCCCCTAAAGTTTACACTTTCTTAACTTTTTGCATTAAGAAAATGAGACAAATTTGTGTGTATGTGTTTTGGTGGTAACACCAGTTATTTTCAACCTAGGGCTCGTTGGATCAGACCTATAGAAACAATACAGAAGACCATCTGCATATTATAAAAAGTAATCTACATTCTAAACAATTGTTTTTAGGTGAACCCTCTTAAAACTTATACTTGGATTAAGAAAAAAATCCTTGTGGGGGAGGGGACAAGGTTCAAGTGGTAGATTGCCTCCCTAGCAAGCTTGAAGTTCCGAGTACCACCAAAATACAAATAAAACTTGTCCAGCCAACTTCCTCACTTCTCCATACCCTGCATCAGAACTGAAACTCCTCCTTTCTTCCAAAATTAGTTTTGTGACATTATTTTGTTTCCTGTACTTTACATTTTTCTCAAATGTACGTATCTCATGGTGGTTCTTTTATAAGTCAACTTGGCTATGGTACCCAGATTGTTGTTTGTTGGAGACCCGAAACCTGCCTGAGAATGCTCTGGCCTCTTTCAAACACCTAATTAACAAGTAGCCGGTCTCGGAAATTCCCAGGTGCACATTTAGATAATTTCCTATAACAAACTACATCTGGCTAACCTTAAAACTTCTCTTATCTCCAGCCCTAAGCAAACGGCACCTGGCTAACCATAAAAGAAATCACAGGAGATACCTTTAAGATGAGCACAACGGCCAAAAGGATAAACATGACCCATCCCTGACCCCGGGACTTCTCACCCTTGCTTCTGCAAAGTTTTTTTTTTCATTCTTTCCCTTCCCCTGTCCCTTCGGGTATATAAACCCTGCCTCACTTTAATAAAGCAGACCTTGACGCGACTCAGAACGGCTCTGTCTTTCTTAATGCGCTTGGTCTCGATCCTCTCTCGCCCCCCTTGGTTCTTTTAGGAGGTGCCTCCTCGGATCCCCCACAAAATTACCTGGCCTGCTGGACGGGTCAGTTGTTCAAATATTATGTTTCTATGAGGGTTCCCCTCCCCCCCTTGTGCTTGGAATTGAACCACTAACTCTCCCCCCTTCCCTAGCTATGTCATTCCCCTCCCAACCCCACAAGTTTCACGAAGCTAGTTTTTAGATGGGATAAACACTTTAGTTTTTTTAGATGGGATAAACACTTAAATCAATAGACTGGGCAAGAAGTCATACGGTGAGGGTCCTCATTCATTTAAAGCCTCATGATTGACCTTCCTGAAAGAAGTGGGATTTCTGCTAGGAGAGAGGAATTCCCTTTTTTTTTTTTTTTTTTTTTACCTTTTTTCTATTGTCCAGGCTGTCCTCAAACTTTTGATCCTCCTGCGCAGCCTCCTGCTTAATGGGTTACAGAGGCATGCCACCACATCCAATCCCCTGGGAATTTACTGCACAACTGGCGCATGGGCCAATACTGGAGCTTGAACTCAGGGTCTCTCGCTGTCACTAAGCTTTTTCACTCAAGGCTGGTGCTTTACCATTTGAACCACACCTCCACTTCCAGCTTTGTGCTGGTTAATCGGAGGTAAGCGTCTCATGGACTTTTCTACCTGGTTCGGCTTCAAAGCGTGATCCTCAGATCTCAGCCACCAGAGCAGCTAAGATTGCAGGCCAGAGTCACGTACGGGCAACCGGCCTCGGGCTCACACAAAGCCTATTAAAATGACGATTACACCTAGGTCCGGAAGGGGGCGTGGCTAGACGGTCTTCGCCAGAGGGGATGGCGGGAATTCAGGCTGCCCGCGCAGAGGTAAACAGGTGACTGCGCCTGCGTGCACCGCGCGGGTCACGTGGGCTCCGGGAGAGGCGGGCGCTGACGTCATACCCCGGGGACGTCCCGTCGCCTCCCAGGGGCGGGCTGCACGGGGAGGAGGGCGGCCGCTTTTTCCCTCAGGGGGCGGGATCGAGCCCGGGTGCCGGGTCCGGTCGGAAACGCCCCCTCGGTTCCCCTTAAAGGGTCTGCGGTGGCCGAGCCCAGGGCCTGCCACGCGTGGGGGTTCCTGGGTGGGCCATGGCCCGCTGTGAGGAGGGGGGCGCGCCCCCCGCGGCACTTGTGGGGTCCCCTGGCGTTTGCGGCGAGGGGTTACAAAGGAAGGGGCCCCGGGAACGGCGCCGGCTGAAGGCGATGGAGTCGGAGCGGCTCGGCGGGGACCTGCTCAGGTAGGAGGCGGCGGGAGCCGGGCTGCAGCGGTGCCCGCGGCGCCCACCGGGGCTCCCGCCTCCTCGGCCTCCCCCTCCCTACCCACCTCCGGCGGCCGTGGGGCGCTCGCCTGCTCCCCCACGCCTCCGAGGGCGGCTTCGCGCGCCCTAAACAATCAGCCTGCAGAGTTTGGAAGCCACGTACTGGCTTCGGAAGGAAAACAGTGGTTTAAAATAGTAGTTACGTGCAGCACCAGTTGATGCTAAAGTAGTCTGAACACGGACGTGTTGCTCGGTCGTCTACTCTGGGTGGAAGTTCTAAAACAGTTTTTGAGGATTGTTTTTTCTCGGATTTCTTTTGTGGGGGGAGGGGGGGTCCGGTCGTGGGGCCTGAACTCTGAGCCTGGGCACTGTCCCTCAGCTCTTCAGCTCAAGGCTAGCACTCTACCACTTGAGCCACAGCACCACTTCTGGCTTTTTTTTCTTTTTGCTTATGTGGTGCTGAGGAATCGAACCCAGGGCCTCAGGCATGCAAGGCAAGCGCTCTACCACTGAGCCACCTTCCCAGCCCTTCTCGTTTTTTTATTGTTAAGAAAAACAATAAAATTAGGAAAATTTGGAATGAGGAAAGGACCAACTACTAGAGCCTGAGGTTGCTCCTTTTAAACCCTCTGATCCCAAATGCTTGTGTGGAAATACTTTTGGCTGCACCCTGGCCACCTGGTACACTCTAGCTCCCATCATCTCTCAGCTCCCGCCAGACTCACGCAAATGAAGGGTTGTATTGAAGTTAAACGTCTGTAAACCTCGTGAATATCCACCTCAGACTGTAAGAAATGCGGTTAAAGTAAAAAAAAAAAATCAACAGAGATTCCAAGACGACCTGGTTAATTTCCATTTCCAGCAAAATATTTTTAGTGCAATCAGAATCACTTGGAACCTTGGAAGGCTTGTTAAATACAGGCATACCGTATCCCAGCCTATAGTTCGGATTCAGTTGGTCTGGGATAAGGGCCAAGACTTTGCATGGCTATAGCAAGGTCCCAGGATTGCTGATGCCCTTGGCCACATCTTGACAGCTGTGTAGAATTCATTTTAACTTTTAAGTTTTTATCAGCATAAATTCTGCAAGAGTTTCATATATGTGTATAATGTACTTTGAGCATTCATTTTAAAAAGCATTTTCTGTGGCTCAAATGGTGGATGGCCTGCTTAGCAATTACAAGGCCCTGGGTTCAAATTTTAATACGGAAACAAAACATCTGCCATCAGAAACTTTCCCACATTTAACAACCTCTTTAGTCATAGATAAAATCAAACTTAAAAAAAAAAAAAAGTTCTAGCTGGGAATGTGGCTTAGTGGTAGAGTGCTTGCATAGCAAGCGTATGTGAAGCCCTGGGTTGGATTGCTCAGTTACCACATAAACAGAGCCAGAGTGGTGCTATGGCTTATGCGGTAGAGCACTAACCGTGAGCAAAAGAAGCTAAAGGAGGGGCTGTGAAGGTGGCTCAGT